ATTTTAATTGAGGGATTTTGGTCTCATTTCTAGAGTGGGCTTTTGATATCATATATTAGGTGGCGGCATTTTGATCTCATATTTTAGTCTTTTGTTTCCATATTTTATGCGGAAAGAGGGGGGAGGGGGGGGTTCTGGTCTTATATTTTAGGTGGCGTCTTCTGCTCTCACATTTGAAGCGGCGGCTTCTAGTCCCATATTTCACGTGGAGCTTCAAACAGAACCCTAAAAAATGTGGTGTGCGTGTGGGTGTGTGTGTGTGTGGGTGTGTGCGCGCGCGAATTTACCATTATTAACAATGTTCACCAGCCACTGGAGTTGGTAACACTTGAAAATATAGCTCAGACCACATTGGCTCCCTACCAGGTTGTGTGGAGGCAGACAACCAGGAAGGAAATAATGACAACGGAGAGCATAAGGGAAATAATATTTGCGCATGCAATATATTTTTATATGACATTATTCATTGTGCATATACTTTCAAATCGGGACGATGCTTTCAAAGACTGATAACATCGGGGCAATGCTTTCAAAGACTGATTTCACAACAAATATGTACTTATCTATTATGTACATGCTTCATATTTAGAAGAACGGAGAATCGCCAAGTCCCTTGGGACATCCTCTATGGTGAATCACTGATGTTAGAAAATGTCAGGGACCGTCTGTAAGTAAAGATTCCTTTTTGCGCGTTAGACGCATCGGGCCGGACAAATGGGAGAGCACCCATATTTTTACAGACCATCGGCGCACTTGGTGGGTAATATTGCCAGCATTACACCGGCCGTCTTTACTTCCCCAAGACATCCATCCTGGTAGCTATTTTAGGCTGGATCAACCTGCGATGCTCCATACCATGATAAAAATCCACGCAGCCAGCAGTGGGCTTTCAATCGCGGTATGTTGGAATTACGAGTCTGACTTGCTCGCAACGCCCAAGCCACGGACGCAGGGATGGGTCAGTACAACGATTTAAATATGAGTGGAAGCGGGACATCAATGATACCGATATTGTGGCAGATTTAGACGACAGATCAACATCATGGCACAAGTGTAGTAACCCATACATGCTGCGTCCTACTTCTGACTGAAGCCTGAGTCCGAAGAGTCTCAGCGAAGTGCACGAAATCCGTAGCAGCGGCGAGGATCCTAAAATACACTGGGTAAAGATTTTTGACTCCAAATTTTTGCCCAGGCAGCGCCGTTAGGCTACTTTTTTTTCCCGATAATCTAACTGCTAAGGGATTTTTTTTACGTACGTAACCATACATACGGGCGTCCCATCTCACTACCCAGAGACCAGGGAAAAATACTAGAAGTCCACGTGAAAAAATCCCAGCCTTCACCAAGGCTTGAACCCAGGACCTCTAGCATTCGAGGCGGACGCCATGCTCGAAAACATGCAGCCCCCACTGTGGTGGATTAACGGGAACAAGATGCAGTGATTCATCTTGTATGTAGGGGGAGCAATTATGTAGGAAATATTGACATAGAACAAAACGTAATCTTGGTAATCTTAGTTTCAGCTTCATAGCAAACGAGTTACCCCATAGTTGCTCCGCTCCTGTGCTAACGAAAAACACACAGAGAGTTCGTCGCAGTCCCTTGTGGAAAGATTGACAGCCTGCTGTCTCAGCATATGCACTAGCATACACACGCATTAAAAGCATACGAAAGCCATCAAAAGTGCTAACACAAACAGTTTGACATTAGAAATGCAGTTCATCATCGACGGTAGAAGAAGTCGCCAACAGATCAGCAGTTACACACGCGATCAATATTAATCACGTAAGGACACCACCAATATTGCAGCGACAGGTCACGCGCCATTTTCTGAATCTACAGTTCACAACACCACGTTGGTCACAGTCGAAAAACATCCAAATGAAATCCGCAGCTCACAGTGTCGCGCCATGCACTCAACTCAGTTGAACACAAGGGTTTCTGGTATGTTAATATACATATTATCCTAAAATCTCTTTTCCTCTAACTCTATCATTTGAATCAGTTTATGTATCGACATCAGAATTTGAACACAAATGCAGCAGGTACCTTACCTTCTTCTCTCATGTCCATCATTTGAACTGTGTCTTGTATGGATAGCGCCCTTTCGTGAGCACCACAAATCACATCCATATGTGTATCGCCCTCGTCTGCGTGAAGTTCCCGTGCTTCGGTTATCGGGTCTGATTCAGAAAGCTGCAAAAATCAAGGAGGCAAAATGAGTTTTACGTTACTATAAGGGTACTTCAACATCTGCTAAAGTCACAGTATGATCAAAATAAATAAAACGTTGATAAGACCAGAAACTTGAAGCGCAACTAAAAGAGATGAAGCCTGACTACAGGTTTTTGAAAACTGTTTTACGACGAATCTTTGGACCCATCAAAGATGCAAACAGCGGGGAACTGAGAGTGAGAAGCAACAACGAAATTCATAACCTGTTTAAATCACCACTAATCACTGGCATCATGAGAGCGAATAGACTTAAATGGTTGGGGCATATTGTGATTTCCCATACCTTCCAGTATACAGTGAGTGGTCTCGAGGAATGGCATCCGCCTCGAGTGCTGGAGGTCCTAGGTTGAAACCCCGGTGAAGGCTGAGATTTGTTTCACCTCGACTTCTAGTAATTTCCCCTGGATAGTAAGACCAGACGCCCGTGTGTATTGTTGCGCACATAAAAAAATACCATGCCAGTTGGAAATCGAAAAAAAGAGTAGCCTAACAGCGCTGCCCGGGCAAAATTGGGAGTTACAAATCTCCCCGAAGTATTTGTCGGTGCAACGGAATGCGCGCACTGTGCTGAGATTCCTCATACTCAGGCTTGAAGTAGAACGGAACACTTATGGGTTATACGTGTGCCCTAAAGCTGATCCGTTGAATAAACATAAAACACAATACAATGAGAAACAATTGTCTGGAAAGATGGAGAAGCGCTGAAATCTTATTTCTGCGAATGCCTCCACTTGAAAACCTCCAAATAAAAACTTTTTTTTTAATAATTACAATTGTTGACTATTCCGAGGAGCTGATGGCCGAGTGGTTATAGCGTCGTGCTCTCATTCTGGACACCGACTTCGAACAGTCAGTAAGATGGCCCAAATTTGTTATAAAAAAGTAAAAGTAAAGTAAAGATCCCTTTCACGCCTTTAGGCGTATCGGGCATATGGGAAGAGCGCCCATATTTTTTACAGACCATCAGCACTCGGTGGGTAATGTGGTCAGCATTACGCCGGCTGTCTTTACTTTCCCAGGACAGCCCATCCTGGTACCCATTTGAGGCTGGGTCGACCTGCGACGTCCCATACCACGATAAAAATCCACGCAGCCCGCAGTGGGTTTCGATCGCGGTACGTTGGATTACGAGTCGGACTCGCAACGCCTTAGCCACGGACGCCGCAAATTTGTTATAGCAAGGGTAAAAAATTCTAACCCGTCAAACCTGTAGCGAAGAAAACAAGGTAAAAGTAAGCCACCCCTTTCCACGCCTTTGGGGGTGTGAGGAATATAGGGCTAGACCTATATATCTTGCAGACCTATCGTCACTCTGTTGATGATGTGGTCAAATTCACACCGGCCGCCTTTACTTCCCAAGTCTTCGTCTAGCACCCATTTAAGGCTGGGTCGACCTGGCAGCCATAGACATTTCTTAAAGAAAGGACCTGAATCCGCTCCACCAGATCCGCCCGTCCCGCCGCTCCACCAGATCCGCCCGTCCCGCCGCTCCACCAGATCCGCTCGTCCCGCCACTCCACCAGATCCGTCGCTCCACAAGATCCGCCCGTCCCGCCGCTCCACCACGACGGCTTATGAATAAACAAGGTATGTGGTGGTAAATCCTCAGGTTCAAAAACCTCTCCCTCGTGTAGATGGCCCACTAGTAAATAAGGCAGTAGATACGAGTTTTCTAAAATATCCCTCGGTCTTTTGCCTTCGAATGCCAAGAGTTGCAAGATGGATGACAGCTTCACACGCCAGGAGACTACGTGTAATCAGGGCTATTATGTACGGAGATTCAAGGTTTTTGCTTCCGCTAACGGCGCGCACTTCAGTGACACAAAAACAATCAAATTCAGTGGTTTTGTGCAAAGTGACAATGAAATCAAGAGTTATTGATAGCGAGCGAGCGAGCGAGCAAAAGAGAGAGAGAGAGAGAGAGAGAGAGAGAGAGAGAGAGAGAGAGAGAGAGAGAGAGAGAGAGAGAGAGATTGATTAAATCCTCCCCCGCTGTCCCTATGTTCTCTACCCTGTACTTAAAGACGCAAACACTGACGCAATGTTTTCTTTCCTGTTCTCAGTTAGAGACACAAACACTGACCCAATGTTTTCTCCCCTGTTTCCAATTAGAGGCGCAAACACTGACCCAATGTTTTCTTCCCTGTGTTCAGTTATGGACGCAAACACTGACCCAATGTTTTCTTCCCTGTTCTCAGTTAGAGACGCAAACACTGTCTCAATGTTCTCTTTCTTGTGTTCAGTTAGAGACACAAACACTGTCCCAATGTTTTCTCCCCTGTTCTCAGTAAGAGACACAAACCCTAACCCAATGTTTTTTTCCAAGTTCTCAGTTAGAGACACAAACACTGACCCAGTGTTTTCTTCCCTGTTCTCAGTTAGAGACGCAAACACTGTCTCGATGTTCTCTTTTCTGTGTTCAGTTAGAAACACAAACACTGTCCAAATGTTTTCTCCCCTGTTCTCAGTTAGAGACACAAACCCTGACCTAATGTTTTCTTCCCTGTTCTCAGTTAGAGACACAAACACTGACCCAATGTTTTCTTCCCTGTTTTCAGTTAGAGACGCAAACACTGACCCAATGTTTTCTTCCCTGTTCTCAGTTAGAGACACAAACACTGACAGAATGTTTTCTTCCTTGTTTTCAGTTACAGACACAAACACTGACCCAATGTTTTCTTCCCTGTTTTCAGTTAGAGACACAAACACTGACCCAATGTTTTCTTCCTTGTTCTCAGTTAGAGAAAACAAACACTGACCCAATGTTTTCTCCCCTGTTTTCAGTTACAGACACAAACACTGACCCAATGTTTTCTTTCCTGTTCTCAGTTAGAGACGCAAACACTGACGCAATGTTTTCTTCCCTGTTCTCAGTTACAGACGCAAACACTGACCCAATGTTTTCTTCCCTGCGTTCAGTTACAGACGAAAACACTGTCTCAATGTTTTCTTCCCTGTTCTCAGTTAGAGACACAAACACTGACCCAATGTTTTCTCCCCTGTTTTCAGTTAGAGACACAAACACGGACCCTATGTTTTCTTTCCTGTTCTCAGTTAGAGACACAAACACTGACCCAATGTTTTCTTCCCTGTTCTCAGTTAGAGACGCAAACACTGTCTCAATGTTTTCTTCCCTGTTCTCAGTTAGAGACACAAACACTGACCCAATGTTTTCTCCCTTGTTTTCAGTTAGAGACACAAACACTGACCCAATGTTTTCTCCCCTGTTTTCAGTTAGAGACACAAACACTGACCCAATGTTTTCTTCCCTGTTCTCAGTTAGAGACACAAACACTGACCCAATGTTTTCTTCCAAGTTCTCAGTTAGAGATACAAGCACTGACCCAATGTTTTCTTCCAAGTTCTCAGTTACAGACACAAACACTGACCTAATGTTTTCATCCCTGTTCTCAGTTAGAGACGCAAACACTGTCTCAATGTTTTCTTCCCTGCTCTCAGTTAGAGACACAAACACTGACCCAATATTTTCTTCCAAGTTCTCAGTTAGAGACACAAACACTGACCCAATGTTTTCTTCCAAGTTCTCAGTTACAGACACAAACACTGACCCAATGTTTTCTTCCCTGTTCTCAGTTAGAGACGCAAACACTGTCTCAATGTTTTCATCCCTGATCTTAGTTAGAGACGCAAACACTGTCTCAATGTTTTCTTCCCTGTTCTCAGTTAGAGACGCAAACACTGACCCAATGTTTTCTTCCCTGTTCTCAGTTAGAGACGCAAACACTGTCTCAATGTTCTCTTCCCTGTGCTCAGAGACGTAAACACTGTCCCAATGTTCTCTTCCCTGTGCTCAGTTAGAGACGCAAACACTGTCTCAATGTTCTCTTTCTTGTGTTCAGTTAGAGACACAAACAATGTCCCGATGTTTTCTCCCCTGTTCTCAGTAAGAGACACAAACCCTGACCCAATGTTTTTTTCCAAGTTCTCAGTTAGAGACACAAACACTGACCCAATGTTTTCTTCCCTGTTTTCAGTTAGAGACGCAAACACTGACCCAATGTTTTCTTCCGTTCTCAGTTAGAGACACAACCACTGACCCAATATTCCAGTGTTCTCTTCCCTGTACTGTGAGTTAAGTGTTATCAGTTAGATTATCTTCATAGCACTCTTGACACATCCATAGCCGCTCAAATTCCCCTCTCAACATATTCATCAGCGTCGTGCGGTTAACAGTGCGTCCTACGTTGGTTAACAAGACTCCGGTGTGCTTCTCATGCTTGGCTGTGTCGATCTTTACTTTCAATTCGCGTATTCTTAGCAGTGATGTGGACACGTTGCATTTAAACTCCTCAGAACGTCCTATGCCTCTAAGGACAATGACAATGTCTGCGTTATCCATGGGCTGGCCAAAATCAGGTCATAAAGCACCTGTCAGTCTATCAGCTCTTTCATTACCAACAAAGCCTGCATGAGATAGGACGAATATAAAGGTAAATGCACACATAGGAGAGTTTTGCAATGACTCAAACCACTGTCTGCGTAACCAGCCTGCCTCGACCCGCCGGATCGTGGGCAAAGAATCACTCAGCAAGCACACACACACACACACGCACGCACGCACGCACGCACGCACACACACACACACACACGGGAATAGCCCTGTGATTATAGCAACATGAAAGGTTGTGTCACCGTCATCACCTCCATCGACATGCTGCTGGTAGTCATGGAGAAGGCACCGCTGGCTTCTTGAACTGTTCTGCATAAAGAGCGAGCTGTAAATGCCCATGTACTCTTATGTCCTCGTATAACGGACCCGTCTGTGAAGATCAGCACATCCGTCTCATCTGACTTGTCACTGATACCTCGGTGTTCAGTTAGAGACGCAACCACGGTCCCAATGTTCTATCTATTTCTCTATCTCCCTCCCTCCGTCCCAGTCTGTCTGTCTAGTACGGCTATTGATCGGTGTCTCGAATACTGCTCGATCTTCAGCTTGCTACATAGTTATATTGTTGAGTTTAAGCAAGCTGTTAACCCCATCCATCCATGATTTTAATGGTCTTCCTCTGCCTCTTGATGTTTCCAGTTAATTCTTCAGTCTTTGTTTTTCAATAAATCTAATTAAACGTGTTTTCCCACACGATTCTAATGATATCTCCTTTTTTTTAAATTGCATTTTTTAGTTTTGTAGACTACTTTTCTTAAACATCGAAAAAAGGGGAGGGGGGGGGGCGGTGTTCGTGGTCTCGAGGCATGGTGTTCGAGTGCTAGAGGTTCCGGGTTCAATCCCCGGTAAGTGTTGGGATTTTTTCACGTGAATTTGGACTTCTAGTAATTCATCCTGGTCTCTGGGTAGTGGGATCGGACGCTTGTGTGCATTGTTGGGCACGTAAAAAAAAAAAAAAATCGTTGGCAGTTGGAAATCGAAAAAAGTAGCCTAACAGCGCTGCTAGGGCAAAATTTAGAGTTTCAAAAACTACCCAAAGTATTTCAGGATCTTCGTCGCTGCTACAGAGCTTGTGCACTGTAATGAGCTTCTTCGAACTCAAACTTGAGTTAGAAGAAGAACGGAGCACTTATGGGTTACTGCCCGTGTGCCATGATGTTGTTGATCAGTTGTTCAAAAACCTCAAAACTTCTTAAACATCGCACTTCATACATCGTAAGTTTCTACTCCTGTTCTTTTGTTGATGTCCATGTCAAACCCACCCTTAAAAAAAAACACCTGGATATGTCTCGGGAAGCAAAGAAGCCAGGTGATGCTGACAACACTGCCCATTCAGTGTGCTTTGTGTGGTGAAAACACGCGTCTGGCATCTGTAGCCGATGTGCCAATGGCAGGTACACATGTTTTTGAGAGTCTTCTTCTTCTGTCTTTCTATCCCCCAATGGAGCATAGGCCCTCAACCAACTCAGACCAAGTCGTTCTATCCTTCGCCATTGCATGGAGCTCTCCCAATGTCCCCCCCCCATCTTTCTAACTTCATTCTCCAGCTCTTTTCTGTGTGTTTTTTGGCCCTCCTTTATTCCTATGCCCCTGTAAGTTCCAATGCAAAGACATTCTAGTTATGCTGTTCTTTTTTCTCAGTGTGTGTCCTATCCAACGCCAGCGTCTTTTCCTTACCTCTTGGTCCACTGGAGCCTGCTTAGTTTTCTCCCAAAGTTCTACATTAGTTATTCTATCATACCATTTAATTCCCTCTATTCTGCACAGGCACCAGTTAATGAATGGCTGTAATTTATTAGTAATTGTCTTAGTTTTTGGGAGTACTAGCAACAAAAAAAAAAAAAAAAAACTGTTGATACCTTGATCTAGAATGCGTTCTTGAAATAGCAGCAATTTGGAAAAGCATTTGTATGAAATGAAATCAAGCACAATTGACTAGGGCGCTTTTGTTTCCACGGCGCCCTAACCTAAGTAAAAGTATGACTATTCGTATGTAAGAAATCAAAACAAATATAACTCGTGTATCTTCGGCGCCCCGATAAAGAGGTTGCAGCTTCCCGGGGACGCCAGGGCGCACAGTTTGGGAATCACTGGGCTAGAGAATATATCTTTTGACACACGCAAACAGCCCATTCCATACTTAGCTCTTTATTCCATGCACCTGCCAATTAAACAGGTCCTATCCATAAATGATTACAATTTATTGTTGACACCTGTTGAGCTAAATGGGTAACAATGATACAGTCTTACAGAAGAACGTACTAAATAACACACGGACACACGGATCCGTCCAGCAATCAATCAAGAATCGTCTCCAAAATGACATTTAGTTATATGTCGTAAAAAGGTTATAACTTTATCACACATTCAGCTGTATTGGGCCAATACTGGTATAACTATATTTCATAGACCAATCGGCACTCGGTGGGTGATACGCTGAGAATCACACCAGCCGCCTTTATTTCCATTTAAGGCTGGGTCGATCTGGGAGACATGATTATTTAAAAAAAAGGTTCGAATGCGTTGGAATTCGAACCCACAACTTTCAGAACCGCATGAGAGCGTCTAATAGCAACACAACAGCAGCACCGACTATATGTTGTGCCTAATAATATTAGTGATTAGAGACGATTATCATCAAAGCACTGCGGACTGACTGATATGTATTCCCATCCCCCCCCCCTCAATTGCACCACGAGCGTTCAAATCATGGCCACTATGTGTTGTGCCTTTAGTGAACTGGTCTTGACTGGCTGCTCCAGATGGCGCTCTCATATCCACCAAACTGGACAGCGATAATGATAATGATTCTTGCTTGCTGTCGTAGTAGTCTTTGCGTCATGCATCTTGCATGAGATTAAAGAGATCACACCAGTCCAGTGCTGGGATAGTCACAGTAATCGCATGTCTACAAGGTAATCTGCACACTCGTCGCCTGGAACATCTGTACCGCCTGGAACTCAGATAAAGGTTGGGTCCACGGTGCATCTAATAAAAGAATCCACGTTTGTCTAGTAAAGCTAGTCGGATTTTTATGAACATTCTAGCTGTACCCGGCCACGCGTTGATGTGGCATAGTTTGGCTAAAAAGAAAATAGAAATTGCACGGGTCTAATATGGTTACTGTCGCAATCATTGTCTGCGAACATACATAGATAGTCATAAATCCCCCCCTCCCTTCCCAAATGCACCTACTACTCGCTCCCTCATCAAAGGCTTTTGGAAAAGAAAGGCAATAGAAATCGCACGTGTCTAATATAGTTAATGTCGCAATCATTCTCTGCACAGATATAGAGATAGTCTGGTTTGCCACTTTAGAATACGCAACATATAACTAGTCTTTCTATTAGTGGTCGTTTAAATGGTATTATTAGCATGGTAAAAAAATGGTTATTTGGTTATCACATGCTAAAGCTGTTTGTATTTTTTTAAGAGACGGATGTAAAGCTTACTACCGTACTTGTAAATAACCAAGTAAGGCGTTTAAAAAAATGAGAATAGCGGAAGTAGCGTTAGTAAAATATAAACAAATTAAGAAATGAAAACGTTAAAATCATGCGTTAAGCTCTTTAAATTAACAATTTCTGTCATCACCCCTTCCCCTCCCCCATCCACCGAATACTGCTCTCTGCCTCATCGAAGAATTTGAAAGTCATCACCCGACGATATTTTTTGCAACTGAAGTTGATACCCCTGTCCATCCGGACTAAAATAGGGAGCAGGAATTGTAATGAGTAGTAAAGGCGGCTAGTGTAATATTTACCACACTATCCTTCAAGTACTAGTACAACTACTACCACCACCGCCACCACAAAAACTAAAATAATGTCACTGCTATCTGTTTTACCATCGGAGTAGACAGGTAGTCGTGAGCCAGAGGATTTGGCGCCGCAAGGTTAATGCTGTCGCCACGGACTGGTTCAGGTTAGGATGTGTAATTTCGCTCACGGACACACACACAAAAATGCCATCACCTTACCGGCGGTCTCCGGCATGACAGCACTACGGTGTAACCGCTCAATAACACCTACTACTACTTTGAGTGGGTAAGGCAGTTACTTTGACTTAAAGCACTTTTAGTTACCAGTTTATGCACCCTCCCCCACTCCCCTCCCAATTCTCCGACTACTCTTTCCTTCATCAAAGTAGTTTGGAGAAAAAAACCATGTGAAATGCAAAGAAAACAGGAAAAATACACCATAATTACGAAATGAACGCTATGATAAACAACATAGCCTAATTCTAATGCAATGTCAGAAGAAATAATTAAATCGAAATGAAAAAAAAAAATGGAAATCTAATGAAAATTCAGCGTAACCATGCAATCGGAAAGTTTGAAATGAAATCATGAAAAAATGGTCAAATTTAATT